ATTATTGTATATCTCCTACTCTAGGCTCTCATCTTGACATCTCACATCTCTGACTCCGACTTTACATCCTCAGCTCCGCCAAGGCACCAAGTGCCAACGCCAACCAGTCGAGCCGACAAAATAAGAAGCCAGATTCCAGAAAGCAAAAGGCGAATCCCCAAATTTTTTTCCCTTATTTTTTTTTTGGTTATTTCAATTTGTGTAAATTGTAATAATTTTTTTTTTGTTTTTTGTTTTTAACATATTAAATTAGCACTTTGTTCTTTAATTGCTCGAAACGGCACAAACTTCCAGTGGACCACCAGTTCATTGTTGCCTCTGGGCTCTCGCTCTCTGGGAATCTGTGATTGCAAGTTCAAGTTGCCAAGTATTTGAAAATAGTATATATTGCATTGTGAGATTGTGAATTGATTTTGTGAAATTGTGAATTGCACTAGTTTTTTGAGTTGCTTCCAGTATTTGTGATTCATTTGACATCTCGAATTACTCCCACTCCTAGTAGTAATTGGGTGATCAGTGAATGAATGATAGCACAATTATTTATGTGGAGAAAGATATATTTTTCAGGTTCAATAATGAAGTTATTATGCAATGATATCAAAGTATGAAAACTCGCAAAAAACAAGTGTAATATATAAATTATGTCGTTTTTAGTATTGATGTACTATTGTTTTATTTTTTTATCGTCATTAAATCCCCGACCAAAACCTCGACATTCGTCGTCAAAAAATTTTGCCCGCACTGAACTAAAATCCTGGCTCCGCCCCTGCATATACATATACATATATATATATATATACATGTATATGTATATATAGATATGTATATATATATGTATATATATGTATGTGTGTACATATTTATAGATATAGATATATATACATATATATATATATATATATATTTCAACTAAGTTTGAATTTCAAATTTAAAATTTTAAATTAGAAATCTCCAAGCAGCTACAGCTGCCTCTTAAGGCAAAAGGTCTTTTCATTAATTTTTTTTAAAGTTCTATTTGAGCCACATAGGCTAGCTCGGACTTGAGCGACTCTTCAGAATGGGGCTCAACCAAAGTATTGACTCAATTCTTTCGAGTCACGAGCCAAGCCGATTTAGGGTTTTCTCGGGCCGAGCCGACTTGGACTTTTCTAGAGTCGAGCCACAGGTCGCACAAGCCCATGAGCCAAATTTACGCTCTCGGGTCCACTTTTTTTTTTCTAATTTTTTTCTTCCATAATTGGTTTTTCCCATCACCTATTTTGGAGCAATTAGTCGCTCATTTTGGAGCAGTGGCGGATTTAAGGATTGGCCCGCCCTAGCTGGATTCGTCAGAAAGAATTTTTTTTTTTTTTTTTTTTGATAATAGATAAAAATTTTATGTTATATAACTAGTAGTTTATTTTATTTTCAAACTCTTCTTTTGCTTAGTTGATTAGAGTTTGCATTTTTATATTACAAGTCTTGGGTTCAATTCCTTCCAGTCCATTTCATTGTGCAAAATTTTTATTTCTACAATATTTATCAAAATTAATTTCCTAAGGAAAGGATTTGAAACTATAACTCTAATTTTGGAAGCTTAACCATCATGGCAATGATTGAATTTTGAATATAAATTTAACATAATAATATATGTTAAGATTCTAGGCGAGTCAATGACTATTTTATTTGGTTGGTTTTTGTCGTTTTAAATATTTTATACTTTAATAATTTATAAGCTATGACTTATGAGTATTGAGTTTTAATTTATATGTTACTTGAGAATTTGTCTACAATGAATTGTGATATTAAAAATTAATTTGAGTATCGTGAAATGTGAATATGTGATTTATGAAAATTGAAAATGAGAAATTGGAGAATTTGTAATTTGTGATGAATCGGTGTTGAAAATTGGAATGGAAAAGGGTATCTAACATTTTTGATCTATTTTCAAATTTACGTTTTTAAAAAGTTCAAAGGCTAACTTTAGTCAAATTGACAATGCCCTATCAAGAAATTTGTCCAACCCAACCACCATCGTGTAGTTCTAGACCACATAGAAGAAATCGGTAGGTTTGATTTCAAACTCCACATGTTAGAAATACTTAGAATTGCAAATGGGCCATGCTTCCATCTCTTGAATTGCAAACCACCAAGTGCTAGTGTGTAAGAAAATTCTATTCCACTTGTATATATGCTTAATTTTTTATTTTTTATTATTATTATTTTATTTTTTACAAAAGAGTTGTGTGTATTTTTCATAAATTTTTAAGGCCTGTTTGATTTTAATTCCTTGTTTGATTAAAATAATTTTCTTGGCAACTCATTTTCCATCCCTCTCCTCCCATGTGACCCTTTTTTTTCTTCGGTTTTGTGGAAAACCAATTTCCATGGGTTTGGTGAGAAATCAGTTTTTCATCTCTTATTTTATTTATTTATTTTTTTGACAATAGAAATAAATTTTATCTACAATTATAACAAATTCTATCCATTTAATTGATTATTTTCATGAAATATAAAGTCAAATGAACACCAAAAAATTCAAAATTTCAACATTTTTTAAGTGAAAAGTTATACCAATTAGACACATTTAATTGATAATTTTTAGTAAAACAAGTTTTAGACAATTCAATTTCCTGAAATTCTTTTTCTTTCAATCCAAATTTCATTCTTGCAATCAAACGGACGCTAAGTGTTTTAGTTTGGCTTCGAATCATGACCGAAATTGAAACCAAAACGTATGCAATAGTTTGGAACAAGTCAAATCAAATTATTGACGGATTCGAATTGACTCAAACAAGTTCTTGTATCTCCCGATCAACTTCATCTCTTTCATCACCACCATCATCATGAAATCATCTCAACTATTGTCCATTGTCATCTCCTGTGTCGAGGAAAGTCCTTGGGTCGAACAACTAATTTTGAATTTTTTTTTTTATATATATATATATTCATGAAGATTGTTATTGACCTTTTATTGAATATTCTTGTTCTATGTATAATATATTATCTCAATTAAACTACAATTGGCCCTCGTTTGCCCCCACTTAAATTAATTTTTATTTTTTTCTCTTCTATTTTTAACTATACGATTTTTCATAAAATAATATTACATATAAATCAAAAAAAATTTCAACCGCCCATTTTCCTAAAAAAGAAATAAATAAATTCATCCACTAAAATTTGAAATAATAAAGGTCAAGTCAGAGCTGGTATACGCGTATAACTCCCCAATGCACTTGTCAGTTTTAGTTTATTACTGATGAGTGAGTTTTACGCATCATTTTTAATGCCATTTAACTTTATATTAGTTGTCTTCTAGCAATTTAGAATGTTTTGATATGTGTGTTCCAGTGTTCGTGTTGTTTTACTTATTAGGTAACTTAGTGAAAAATGGCGAGTTTAAAGCATGATAGGGAGCCACAGGCATTTGATTGTGAAAGAACTAGCAAGGACATCTTAGGTAAGGGAAAGAAAAATAACAAAGCTAGAAGAAGACAATGGAGAAATCCGGCCCCTCGACGACGCAAGAAGCAACTAACGATAGAAGTTTGGCGCCGCAACAATTACCTTGAATCTTGATTACTAGTTCCAACACCTTTTCTTCGTGTCTAAATGAACATTCACTCGTTTAATCTAACTGAGTTAGTTCCTTTCGTGTTCTTGTTCTCTTTTTAAGTTTTTGATTGTTAAATCCTCAACCATTTTGGCACTTGCGGCTCTTGCAACTGTCCCATAAATGATGTAATACCAAGGCAAATGATGCAAAGTTAATTTCTCAAGGTTATCAAACTCGAGTATGTTCCTAATGTAATCTCATACATATGAAACGTCAAAAATCTAATAATGACTTCTCCATACTTCGGGAAAAAGCAAAACTCAAAAAAGGGAACCACTGCCTCACTTGGGGAAAAGCCAAAAAGACAATTGAATGCCTTCTAAAAGACATGGATCACGACCCTACTCAACATTGAAATAATCCATCAAAAATTTGAAATTTGCAATCTCCATAGATATTTTCTCAAAGTTCCAAGTTCAGCAGCAAAGATTTAAGGGGAAAAAACATATTTCTGAAACAGTGTATTCGTTCAGCATTCGAAAGATGCAAGACCCAATTCTTCTAATAGGGTTAACATAAGAACACTAGTACATGAAAATTATTTCTCTGAGACCATGTGGAAATTATTATAAATTTACTCGTTTATATGTGATGGTGATCCTTCAGGATATCCATAAATCTACACAAAACCTACTGTCTTACCTACCTTAATCTTTCCTAATACATGTACCCAAATCTTCAAATGCTTTGTTATCTCCTATCAAATAGTATATTAGCTTACTTCCTAACATGTTTCCATGTATTCACATGCAAGAGAACACAATTCTAAAAGATCAGACTGTTTTCCTCTTTGTTCATTATACAACCCAAAAGGAAGGGGAAAATAAAGAACTTATCACATGCATATCTAAATCATTAGCATTTTTAACTTCCAAAAAAGGCATCCCAATAGTTTCTGCAGTAACCTAGGCACAAAACAAGTTCTCACACTGCATAAACCGAATAATAAGTTCCAACTGCTATAATGTTTGGGTCAAGGAGAGTAAGTTTATAGACAAGGAAGTCATCTAGCATACTGTTTACATCATTGTTGCCCAGTAAACTTAGTTCCTCCTCTTCTTTTTCTTCTCTTCCTTCTCACGCGCATTCTTCAACTGCATGATAAAATTTGATGATGTCAGTCCACATCAACATATGATCGTGTGCTAATGATCTAAATAGTTTAAGACATTCTCAATTCTCAAAATAAAAATTGTAAAACCACTTACCATGATAATTAGGATCCTAACAAAGACGGCGGCAAAATCAGAAAAGAGGGTCAGAGCGTGTTTCACATAGTCAAGATCCCCGAAATGAGCCTTCTCAATTATATCCTGGGTGTCAACAACGATGTAGCCCACAAACACCAAAAGACCAAAATACAACTGCGAGATAACAAGGATATATGCTTATCAAATTTTGGTAATAATTTCAACTTTGCATCCGCAGAAGGACAAAAAGAATTAATCTGCTACCTCAAATTTGAAAAGGGCCATAGAACCACCAAAAATTGAGGACGCAAAGTGCAACCAGAAAAGGATTGAGAGACCAGAAGAAAGTAGGCCCCCTAGGTACAAGTATTCTCTACGCCTCGCTACCATGGCAGCCGCTGAGAAGCAACCAAATGCCACAGCACAACCAACTAGAGCACCAAGAACAATGCTGTATCAAGAAAAATTTGCATCAGAAGAACATTAACAGGACTTAACTAAGAATAAGAGTATGCTTCCAATAATCTTAAAATGGTTAAACAATACAGAAGGATAATATGGATCCAGCATGCCAAAAAATGATAGGCCTCAAAGAAAGAGGGATCAAGAGGAAGGACATAAAGATGATACCATAAAAAAAATAAAATTAAACTTAATTTCTCCTTGAAGCCAAAACAAAAAATCATAGCTTTATCATACAATAGATGTCTTAATTCCATCCTCTTGGACAGAGCAATCTACATGACTGAACACAATGAGACAATCATAAAATTAAACCCAATAGCTTCTCAATTTGGTTGTACATGTTCTTAGAAAAGATATCAAGTACAAGTCAGTAAATAATTCTTACAATCTTTCTTTTCCAACATATCTAAATTATATATAAGACAATGAGAGAGAGAGAGAGCTAGCGAGTGAGCGAACATAAGTATCCATAACAATACTCGTAAAGCTTGTGGTTTTGGAAGGAATCAATGCAAGGCTTACACCGAGCAAAACAAACAATAATGCCTCACAAAACGAACAACTGACGCAGAATGAAACTCTGAAACCATACAGAATTGTCAAGGATACATACCTTGGGTCAAATTTAATAGCCAATTCAATCAGAGGACCAATAGACGCCCCTTGAAAAAGTGCAGCGGCCATAAGTAAAGAAACCCTTTTTTTCTGTTCATTATCGAGATCATGTATAATAAATTAGAAACAAGACAATATGTGCATGTCTTCAAACTAAACAATTAACAATGAAAGTAATACCTCTTCATAAGGAGGCACAGAGAGTAGCCAAAAGATGCTACCCACGGATGCTAAGGTAGTCAGTAGGCCCCCGATATTCCAAAGGATATGAATGTAAGCTCCGACAGCAGCTGCTATTAGAGCACAGCATAGTGAGAGATAGACCTGAAATCAGACAGTCCACTAAGTGAGCCTTTTTTGAATTTTAACAAATCTAAAGAACAAGTGCCGAGTATAGCAGAAATAAATCATTAATCAAAAAACACAAAACAAATGTGATCAAAGGAAACTTAAAAGATAGAAAAAATAAGGGTGCGTTCTCCTTGGCATTTTCGGGCCATTTTCCGTTTTCCATTTTCTAAAAAACCGAAAACGCATTTGGTCGACTATTTTCAAAAACGCATTTCTGAAAACACGGGAAAATTTAACAAAGAAAACCCAAAACGACTTTTTGGCATTTTGAGTGTTTTCAATTGTAAATGGCCAAAACATGGAAAACACTCAAAACGCGGCATTTCCTCTTCACTATTCATCTCCAGTGTTCCTCTCTCGGCTCTCTCCTTCTACTCACTTTTCCGGCCGCCAAACCACCACCCATCAGCTGTCAAACCACCGGATGCAACCACCATCAGCCTCGCCTCCTTCCCCTCTACAATCCCCAACCAACCACTAGCCACAAATCAACACAAAGCAACAGAAAATCCAGCCTAAAAAACGAATGTCACAACCCCTTTTCCGCCGGAATATCCACCTCCGGCGACGCCCACGGTCGCACACCACCAACACTCGATAGCCCTCATCTAGGCGATCAATACCATGTCCTAACATCAACCAGTAATGCACCAATTCGTTCTAATGTGAATCAATCAAACATGGCAGTCGCGAACCAAACCTGCTTGCTTCAATTCGCGTTTCTGGCGATTGGCATCAGTCGATTGGCGATAGTCGAGTATTAAATATGTCCCTACAACCATGGGTAACACTTTAATTTCATGCAGAAATCATTGCCGGAATGGGAATTTTCGGCCGTTCTAATGTCTCGCAACTAGCCTCTTTTGATCAGAAATTCTAGCCTGTTCAGCCGGAGTTAGGGCCAGCTATTGGGTCGGGTGTGTAGATGACTTTGTGGGCTTCAAGTTGGTGCTATGTTCCAGTGGCCATGGTGGCCGGAAAGTGGTGTTTTGGAGGTGGCGGTATTGAGAGTGAAAGAGAGAACCGGAATGGGAGTTTTCAAAATTTTTTGAACCAAACACGTTTTCTAATTTTTCGTTTTGAGAAATTGTTTTTCAGAATGACAAATCAAACGTGTTTTTCATAATCTCAAAATGAGGCCTCAAAACAGAAAATGGAAAACGATTTCAAAACTGAAAATAAAAAACAGAAACGCAAAGAAAACGCCCCCCAACTAATTCTAATTAGTGAACTAATATTAAGGGCCAAATCTGAGGAAAAGTGGAAACCCTAATTTATATTGACGGAAAATGAAAGAAATAGAAGCTTCTAACATCAGATAGCTTTAAACAGAAGGATGGGAAAAACCAAAAACAAAGAAAAGTATACAAGTAAGCTTCCAACGCATATAGAGAACATTATAAAAAGATACCCAAAAGCAAAAAAACTTCCAGCATAATAACAATTTTTTCATATTTTCCAAGTAATTACTCAAATTCCACATATGCCTGCAATTATGTAAATTAACCCTCATTTTAGACATGATATTGATATAATTCGTTCATTACAACTTTAACCTATAGGATAGGCCAAACCGACCAAAGAGCTGATAATATTCATTCAGGCAAGATATTAAACTAATTGATCAGTTCAACAAATATTAAAACATATGATCGTCCAAATCGTTACCCTATATTTAAGGTCAAAAAACTCAATTTTGCGAAAACATCAATTCAATCGCGTATGGAATTTTTTCCGATTCATGTTGGCCTAGAGTCAATCAATTCTTTGAATAAAATATATTTCCCAAGAATCGAATATATATATATAGAGTAAAAGAATAATAATAATAATAATAATAATAATAATAATAATAATAATAATATACGCATGGCAATCTATATGATCGTCCATACCCTAAGATTATAATTGGACTCAAAGAACCAATTCAGAAAAAAAAAAAAAAAAAAACCCCAAATTAAATTTAAACTAAAAATTTCCAATTTAGGTTACCCTAGAATCATCCAATTTTTACAGAAAACACAAAATTCCCCAAGAACCGAAAAAGGATAAATTAACAAACCCATTAAGAAAAAAAATTAACCTGTTTGAGATGAGTTTGAACGACTGGTGAAATCTGGCGGAAATTCTTTAGCGAATCGTAACTCCAACGGTTCCCAGACGCCGATTGCGAGGTGAAGAACGATGCAAATGTGTCCATTATTTGAATTTATTCAGTTTCTCACACAACCGAGAGAAGATCGAGCCTAGTTTTTATCTATCGATTCACAAGAATTAAAAGGCGATTTGTCAGAGAGACTCTAGAATTGTAATGGGAAGACGCTTTGACGATTCGCTTATATAGAGGCGAGTCTTGATTTTCTGTAATCTCCGGGAATTTACTGGAATGACCTTTGCTAATTCTACTTCGCTTTGTTATTAGAACAAAGCTCGGAGTGTTTAATTGCCCACATTTTTTATGGAAAATATTTTTTATTTTTCATCAAAATTTAGTGTTTGATTGCAATATTATTTAGAAAATTTCATTTTCACCTTTTCCCCCACGCATATGTATTTTCCTTGAAATGGTGAAAAATCAATTCCCACCATTTTGATGGGAATTCGGTTTTCAGCTTTATTTTTTAAAATTTTCAATAATGGGAACAAATTCTATCAATAATTATAAAAAGATTCATTCCCTTTAATTGACAATTTTCATGAAAAATAAGACTAAACGAATACCAAAAGATCGAAAATTTCAATATTTTTCAGATGTAAAATTATACCAATTAAATACATTTAATTGACAATTCCCAGAAAAATAAATTTTATATAATTTAATTCTCTGAAATTCGTTTTCTTTCCATCTTAATTTCATTTTTACAATCAAACGGACCTTAATTGAAGATAATGAAATTACTTAGTAATTTATATACAAAAGGTGTGAAAAAGGAGCTTCGAAATTCTTTTACTTATTTTTTTATTTGGTTGAAAAAATTCTTACTCAATTATATTTCAGCACATTATGTGTATATAAATCATTATATATATGTAACACAATCATAGTAATTATCCATTTATCCTTTTGGATTTTAAATTTCAAATTTCTAGTTTCTATTCACTTAATTAGTTATTTGTCAAGTTCCGGATATTTCTTTCATATTTTTAGGTTTTTTTTATCATTTCGATATATTTAGTCAATGTTTGTTGTCTAAATTAAAGTCAATGATTAATTTTAATCATATATTTTCTAGAATTCATAATTTTTTAACCACATATTTTGTCAGCTTTTATCTAAATTTACTAAAAATTTAATCCAAAGAAAGCCCTAGTATGATGGAGTAATTATCAAATAAAATAATTGTTGTTTGCTTCCTTTATTATTATTATTTTTTTGAAATTACATTTTCTCACTATTTAATAAATTTTAAAAATGAAAATTCTATTTGACTCTATATCAATATGTTTGATAAAGATTTTCAAGATTATAAAACGAGTGGTTCGAATATTATATGTGAAAAATGAAGTGTCACTAACTCATATTCTTTCAAAAATGAAAATTATTTTGTGTCATATTTTAAAATTTCATTGAAATAACACATTGAATATATTTTTAATATAGATTTAAACTATACAAACTATTTTTGTTTCAGTATACTAAACTTTACCAATATATAAAACCTTTATTTGAAATCCATTAATTTTTTTTTTCAAATTCATTATCAAAAATATATTTTCTAATAAAATAAATTTACACGTAAATTAAAAAAAACCTTTTAACTATACAATTTTTAAAAATCACTTCTACAAAAATTATTCTTTAAAAAAAAAATCTCAAACAGGGACAAATGTTAGTGAAACATTGCTAAGAAGTTGTTGCAAGGGTATAAAAGTAAATTCAGTTAAAAATTGTATATTCGATATATTATTTATTCCTACACTTCTATTTTCTGCTACTGACTATTGAGCCTTATTACAGCCACGTAACACAACCAATGAAAAGTTGCCATGTCAACCCGATGACATTATATTCTTTCCCGCGGTCTGCTTTAGTTGCCGTGCATGTAAGGCAATCGAATCGGTCGGTCGTTGGACATTCAAGGAGGGCTGAACAACAAAATAATCAAACTGGAAAATCGAGTCAAAATCGTTTTTATGAAATCGTTGATATGATTCCACATAGATCCAAGGATGAAGTCAGAAAATTTGTTCAGTGCGGATATAATTTAACACATGTTGAACATTGAGTTTTGGTCAAAAATTTAGTGATGATAAAAATGCTATAAAATAAAATCGTGGGTTTGGGCCTAAAAATAAAACTAATGTAAATTAAAACATGTGTTTTATTTCACCTCCATGTTGCTAAAAAATAATAATAATAAAAGGGGTTTGGGCCTATAATGCCCGCACTTGTCTCAACATGGCTCCGCCTATGCATAGATCCGTCAATATTTTGGTTTTAAATCGAACCAAACAGCATGGTTGGACATTCAAATAGGGCCGAACAACGAAATAGTCAAACTGTAAAATCGAAACAAAATCGTTTTTCTGAAACTGTTGATTTGGTTACACATAGATCTGTCAACATTTTGATTTTAAACCGAACCAAACTGCTATTTGGTTTAAATTTCAATCTTTGCAAATCATTTCAAATCGTCAAATCGTTTACAAAAAACGAAAAATAAAAAATTGAAAATAAATTATTCTAAATTTTTATTTAACCCAATAAAAATTTAACACATATCAGCTAAAAAGTTGCATTCATATTAAACATAATTCAATTAAACTCAAAACTCAATTTGACAATTATACATTTCAATTAATTAATTAAATCATATCCAAATACTCATCAATCATCACAACTATGAGCGTAAAATCCTCAAATTGGATAAAGTATTAAACAACTGCTGTTAAATCATATTTATCGATCCTCCATTACAATTTAGTAGACAACTAAATCTAGATTTTAATTCAAACTTGCAAATTTTATTTCCTTCTACTAATAATTTTCTCAAGTTTTGTTTAAATAAAAGTCAAATTCTCCAAATTCTATTATTTTTTATTAATTCTTTTTTTTTATTGGTAGTTATGTTGTTTTATTCTAATAACTGTTAGGCTCCTTTAAAGTAATTCGCCAACATTTGAATTGAGTAGAAATGTTGTATGATTCACATAAAATCACAATAACTTGGTATTATTGTATTTGAATTTTTTTATTCATTTTCTTTTATTAGTTATTTTATATCATTCAACTATAATCAACGAATTCATATACTATATTTTTATATTTATGAAGAGAACAAATCAAGCATTACAATTGTAAATGGACACCATTTGTATCGGCTAAGAGTTTAAAATATTTATATCATATTGTTGCTTTAAAATGATTATAATTATATAACTTTGATTTGTAATTTTTTAAATGATACAATTAATGTATTAACGTGAAATTTTAGATTAATATTTATGATTTAACTTATTTGATATATATTAATTTTGTTTTGTTAAATCGTAATTTTAAACAAAACAAAACCCAAAAAAATGATTTGAATTTGTTTGGTTTAAAAATCGAAGTGGTTTGATTTTTCCAAATCTCTTTAAATGGTTTGGTTTGAAAATTTGTCTCAAATCGCCAAAATAAAACCGTGTTCACCCCTACATCCAAATTTTGTGATTCATTTCTCTTATAATTAATTTATGTAATACGTGGATAAAAACTTACTATCCCTATTTGTCTATCATTATTTCAAAATTATTATTTTCACAAATTTATATTCAATCACACATTCAACAATAAAATATTTTACAAGTAATCTTAATTTTTTTTCTATTTTTTAACTACACATTCTTTAAAAAATTCATTTTCTTACTTTAATCGTAGACAAAGAGGGACTAAATTATATTTGATTTATAAATTTATATTCATCTAAATAAAAAAATTACTACTGACAACGTCCATGCACTAGTCCTTTTGCAAGATTCTTAAAGGTTCCAAAGTCATTATGGTTGAATGTTGTGTTTTCAAAGAAAACTAGTCGATGCCACGTGCATTGTACGATTATTGTATTTAATGTGTCTTTATTAGCGTGACGTAGAGATTTTAGTTTTCTTGGCTGATTATGCTTTTGAAGTTTGAATTAAATTTTTTGGCATAAATGTTCTTCGCCAGTTAGTAAAAATTAGATTTAAAATTGTACGAATATAAGTAAAAGATTTAAAATTAGATTTTTTGGCACTGCTTTCTTGCGAGGACTCCCCGCAAGACCGTGCAGGGAGTCCCCACACCAATTGGTGCAGGGAACCCCGCACAAATGTGCGGGGAGTCCCCGCATAGTCATTTCTACCCCAATTACCTTGCTTCCTCTCTCTTTCTTACTATATTGAGGGTGAATCAAAGGGCTGTAAAGGAGAGAGAGTTGGTGTATGAAGGAAAGAATGGAGTGGGCGTAAAATTAGAATTTATTAGTGAGGGTTAAATCATTCAAATCAATTGCTTTGGATTCACATTAACATGTTTAAATTCTGAAAATCTTGGTTTTTATTTTCATAATTCAGTATAAATTATCTGATCTATCACTGAGACAACTGAGTTTTGAGAAAAATTCAAAACCTCACAGATTCTCTCCCGTTTATTTCTCACTTTAATGGGTTTTAGTAATCTTGCTAAATTATGAGTGGTATACTTGATTCCATATATTTTGTGTAATCTATTGAATGGAGATTTAATTCCTTAAATTCTTAATAAATTTTCCATCTGGCATCTGGGTTCATTTCAAAACCCTAAGATTCTTTGTTATTTTTCAAATTTTGTGTATCTTCAAGAATATGTTAATATGGTGGATGGTTTGCCATATATAATATCCCATTTGGGTTCTCCTTTAAATTTCAAGATTTATATTTAAGTTTAAAGGGAAAATGGGTAGAGAAGAAAACATAGATTTGAGCGGTTGTACTGGTGGTGGTGGCGGCATCGGCGATGGTGGTAGATCGAAAAAGGAGAAGAAAAAAAAAGTTCCATATAGAGGATTAGGTGTAGCTCAACTGGAAAAGATTAGATTGGAACAACAAAAAAATGATGCAGCATTAATATCAACTAATCTTTTAGCCAAATCAATTGTTTCACTTTCTTCAAATTCAATCCCTTTAGCCCCACCATACGAAGAGATTAATCACAAAAAAAACAAGAGAAGAAATGAAGAAGAAGTGAGAGAAGAAAATGATGATGATGATGATGAAAGCTTGTGTCTGGATTTGCATGAAGAAATGACTTCACCGTCCTTTTGAGTAAGAAAAAATGATTATGGCTGATATCTGATTTCTACAGTGAAATCACTATTTAGCTACAGTAGA